TTCTTTTAAAGCAAGACTGACTTTCCTTCTATCTAACTCTATATACTTCAGCACAAAGCAAATTAAATTCCTAACTACGAAACTGAGAGTAAGCCTTTTGCTCTCAAAATGGGAATAAATGCCTTACCCCAAGAGTGAGAGTAGACGTCTTACTCTAAAAATGGGACTAAGCGCCTTACTTCGAAACTAAGAGTAAGCCTTTTATACTCTAAAAATGAGAATAATTGTCTTGCTCTGAAAATACAAGTAAGCGCGTTACTCCGTAGGATATCCTCGTAAATCAAAGGGCTAATTTTCGGAGTAAATTTTTTCAAAAAGCAGGGGGAGATCCCTTCCCTTATCGCAGTGCCCCTGATTGAACAACTATCTAATCATCTCTAATCATTCTTTCATTCATAAAAAAATCATGTAAATCGCATAAAAATTTTTCTGTTAGAAATTAGGTACACAATCTTAGAAATCAGGAGATTGCTTGCTTTCCACTTATTCGGTTGTCGCTATTTTATGGTTACAGAAAAAATCAAAGAAAAAAAAAATTACAGAAAATCAGGTACGTTTTACTACGCGATACGCGGGAGACAAACTGCGAGCGCGGTACGTTCTACTACCTGATCTGTGGGAAAGTGTTAAACACCTAGAAAACAACATAGATAAAACAAAATAAAATCAAAAGGAGCTCGTGTTGCTTTTTCACTTGTTGAGAAGAATCTACATTCAATATCATCGACATCAAAGACTGTCATAGAGTGAACTTTTTGAATAGTAGGAACGGCTCTAACATCATCGAAGAGTGTTTTCAGATCCTGTTTTGATTTGTCTGATTGATTGATCAATTTGAGAAAGTAACATTTCACTAATAATAATTGGAGTGTTTCTCGCTTCTAATAAACTCACGAAATCAGCGGCACTATCACAAGTCTTTCAACTTATTACGTCTCCATAAACCATTCGCTTCGCAGAACTGCCCAGCCTGTCTATGACCCCTGAAAATAGTGTAAAAACAGAAGATCGGGTAGATACAAATGGACAGGCATAATTTGCGAACAATTATAAGGTCGAGCTCAGCCTTCCTCCTTTATCCCACACTGCCCATTTCTCAGCGCCTGTTTCTCCTGTCTCAAGGGCATACTTTGCCTTTTCACCAACTTTTCCCATGACTTGTTGCTCACATATTGTAAATTTGCAATATGTGGCTTTAGTTGACCTCATCAGACATTTTAGACTGAGATGATATTATTACGTTAAAATAAGCGTCCTCCATTTTGTTCACCATTCGGAATTTTCTGTCCCACATTCAAAAAAATAATTTGTTACCTCGATATTTTCACTGCACTCTTTTTACGGGTTAGGCTACTCAAGACGGTGCATCCACACTACCACCTTAGCCTTCCAATGAGAAATGTATGCATGTTCTCTGTAAGGATGAGTATACCACCGATAAAGCTATATGTTTATGCAGAAGAAACATAAATTTTCATTGAGGGTGTACAATAGCAACAGGCACCGCAATGATGTATAATGTTTCATGTCAGTTCTTAAAACTCATATTAATTGTCTTGCAAAAATGCATTAAACTTTATTCTACAGCAAAACCAAATTGCTATCTGAATGAATATATCGCTTTTATAAGCATCTATGGCCACATTCACACTACAAAAGTTAAATGCGGAAGAACGAAGCTGATTGGTCAAAAAGTTAACTCTGAGTTTAATGTTTCGGACATCATCGTCGTTGTCCTATTGTTATTAAAAATTATATTTGGAAAAACAATCGCTATAACCTTGAATATAATTCAATTAAACTCAAAACTCTTTCACTTTTCGATAAGTTTGAGGCAACGACACTTATGACAGCCGAGTAGGATTATTTATTCCCGAAAGGCATAGTTTCCTTGCTTGATTACATCATGTTCTTGAGGAAAAGTCCGAGTAAAACACGCTGTGCTTGACTATGAAAAACGAAAAAGGGTTGCAAAACAACAAGGATATATAACATATATTTTGTGGAAGAATAGAAGAATGCTGAAAATAGTTTTGATATATCCCTTTACAGGTTGTTTAGGACTGATTATGAGATAAATCTGGCACTTAAAAAGGAAAAGTTGCTTAATGACTTTAGAGCGCTCATTCTGCATAAATAAAAAACGTTAGCAAATATCTAAGATACTCTATATTAATAGAATTTAAGGACAACCATTTTTGAATCAATATAATAATTGATGCAACTATGTCTAATTTCATTGTTTATTTAACTTAAATAAGCAATGACATTAGACAAAGCTGCATCAATTATTATAAGATACTCTATTTTTAGAGAAAACGTCCTCTATTAGAAAAAGTAATGAAGTCTTAAGAAAAGTCTTTTGACTTCATTGAGAAACCAACGTCGGCCTTCGACTAAAAAATTTCTCTTCAAACTCAAATGAATATAGTGTTATTAAAATACGGGGAAATATGTAAAACTATCTTAACCATTCCTATTTGTAATTCTTTTACGTTTTGGGCTGCTTATTATCGCCAGACAGATAGTTCTAGTGATTCTGAAAAGGAAGATGAATCTAATGACGATGATTAAGCTTTATGTTTTTATTTTATTATATAACAAAGTTTTTTTTCGTTCTTATTTTCATTCATATTTTTTTATATAATCACAACAAAAATTAAAATAAAATTAAAATCGCTAAGAAGAAGGATATCTATCCAAGACTCTTGTAAAAATATTCTTTCTATAGATATTTCTCGAGAAGTAAAAACAACAAATCACATCGTTCACAATCAGCCAAAAAACTTTGTAACATTATTTGATGATAATATTTATGAGTATTTTTTAAATAAACATTGTCATTTGTATCTTTATAGCAGTCGTCTTTTTATCCAATAAAAAGAGTTTTTTAAAACACGTTTAATTTTAAATAATATCACTGTCATTAATAATCGAAACCATCCTATTTGGCTATCTGGATATGGTGATCCAAAACTTATGTCGTCGAAGCGATCGCCCTAAAAACACGTATTGTAGTTCGGAGTACTCAAGCCTATATTAGGAAGCTATACTCATATCTAAAGAGAGCTATGTATGTATGTGTGTTTAGAAGACTCAAATTGTGTACGTAACATAAACTCAAAACAAGCTGTCATATAACATTCTTTAAAGCCCATAGCGTCTGCTGAGACCTTTGAAAGGAAGATGGATCAGATACAACATATAAAAAGACATAAAAAGATTCTGCCTGTAATTCCAGGATTACTTATCAATGGATCATCGAACAGTAGATCCGCTGCACGGTTCTCCCAGTGTACTGCCATCTTCTTTACATGTGACATATTTAATAATAAGTTTATGTTAACAATATATTTGTCCACAGTAAAATTAGAAGTGTTTTCCACAGTGTGCAATTTTTAATAGGGACGCGGACATTTGGTCTTAAATCAATCCAGTCGACTCAAAATACACTTTCTGTAGGTTTTCGTATATGTTCTTTCCTACGGAACACTTTTTGAGGCCATATGGTGCTTCAAGATTGGTCTTCTAGAAAACCTTTCTGTTTTTGAAGGCTAAAAAAGGCTGAAATGAACCTATTTTTACTTGGAAAAGTGTTTTTATAGGTTTGAAAGTATGCAGAAGTCTAATTCGTTATGACCAGAGTCTTTGGAAAGTCTTCTTGAAGGTTTTATGGAGAACCTGTTTTCTAGAAAACCTTTTTGCAGAGGAAAACATGCGGTAGTTTTTCACGTTGTATCTCGTTCTATGCCATGCTCATGAGTGAAAAACCTGCGCCACTCCGCTCAGCGCTTACCACCACCTCTTGACCGTTGCGTTTTTGCAGCTATTACTAGTCAATCCACTGATGATTAAATCTCTCCAAGTACTATAACCGTTTTGCGCTAGAGAACCATTCAGAAAGAAGTTCTGATACATGCTCAACTGAAAGATTGACATATCAGCCTTATCTCGCTCTCAACAGGTTTACATAAGACAGACTTGCAGCTTCTGGTTCTTGCAGTGACGAAATCGTGTATCTTTCAAGAAATTAATGTATTTAATCCTTTAAAAAAACTAGGAAGCATTGTGTAGCTCTATTTCTTTTTCTCAGCTTTCTGACTTCTCTGTCCTCTCTCTCTCGACGAAAAAGCTGAAAAGGAGCGTTTTACGCTGAAAGCTGGATTTCTCAAAAAATTAATTTTAATGAAAGACGGTAAAAGATAAACCATCCGATGCAATCTTTTATACTGATTCATTACTTTTGAAAAATAATCGATCACAGAGGAGAAACGGCAGGAAATTCTCTCAATTACCAGGTTTTTTGCAAAATTAAAATCTTCGGCCAAAACAATTTTCGCTATTTTCCGCTAACAGAGTAGTTGTGTCGTATGTAGAAGAACATTTCCTGAAAGTTTCATCAAGACTGAACATGCGAAAAAATTCGGAAACTCCCTTTACTGAGCACAGGTTTCGGAAAAACGCTTACTCTAAGAAAAAAACCAAGCGGATCCAAAAGGTGTCTAGAATCAAAGAGCATGTGCTTTTATGGTGTTTCAGATCCCTGGTTTTCCTTCGGATATCTGTGAGAAAATCGATTAGCACTATGGTCTACTTTCTCAGTAAAAGGACAGAAAGATATGTCAAAAAATATATAATATATTTATATATATAACAGAGTAAGTCAAATATTCACACAGATTTATTTTGTGCGAAAAAGAATTAACTCCTATAGTAACGATGTATTTTATTAATCTTGTTTCTCAAGTTTTATTTTTAGCTGATTCATTAATAAACTCAAATAATATTTTAGCTTTCTCATTCACAAATATTTCAAAGAAACAATAAAAATCGTCAAATTGCCTAGTTTAAAAGCGCATATTCACTAGAAAAAAATGATCAAAGAGAATTTTAAAAAACAAAGTAACAATCTGGACTTATGTAAATAAAAGCAAAGAAGACAAGTACACAATGTATTAATATCGAAATGGATCACCACTTCAATTCGGAAGATACAAATATTAAGTATCGGACTCAGACCAGAACTCGGATTCGGCTTGGACTTGGTACCCCGTCGAACTCGGTAACGGAATTACTCTGGGCATCACCTTTCCATTATATTTTGCCACTCTATCACTAATGATCTGTGCATAATTTGGATTGAAAATATCGTACGTACAATAATTAAGTAATGTAGACGATAACATGGTTAATTTTTTCACATCATGTGGATATGATTTAACACGATCTTTTATAATTAGACGACATTGTTCTTTAAGGCTAAGAGTTGACTGAAATAATTTGTCGTACATTTGATTTGATGACAGGTCATGCTCTGATCGAAGTTCTTCAATAAATGCCTGATTATGGATTATTTTATAAGATGAATGTAAATGATGAAGTAAAAAATGTTGAAACAACGGATCAAAAGACGGGAGGAGTTTGATAATAGTATGGATAAATTGTTCAGTTCGTTTTTCTACTTTTTCATGATATAAATCTTCGATACGTAAGCATATCAAGGCATATAAACCGACTGTTGTGGAACAAAAAATTGAATGTTCAACCAGATTTTCAACCACCGGCATTGACAGCTAAAATAAAGATCATCAGTGCATGCCATTAGAAAACAGCTTGTCTCTTCAATATTAAGCCTGAGTAGAAGAAGAACTTTTTGCTGAGTAACTATATGACTTTTTTGAGTAGCTACAAAAATTTAATAAATAAAAAGATTTCTCATGGATCTACCATACGAATGATTCTCAAACTTTTGTAAATAATCTGTTCCAAATAAAAAGGAATCTATCGTCTTCTTCTGATGGAAATCACTGATAACTAAAAACATAAAATTTGTTTGTTATTTACCATAGCACTTTTCAACACAAAATAATTGAATAACTTTAATATTCGTAACGCCCTATATTTTTTTTTGTTATTTGGACCTGATCGACTATCATCACCATCATCATTTAAATAAAAAAATGATTGCATATTAATCAATAAATCAAATAACGTATGATTTATTATCGGATACCGGTAGGTTGGAATCAATTCATTAAGATTATGTTCTGGAAAATAATTTTCTCGGGACACGTTTCCATTTTCATTCCACGGTGACAAACACATGGTTTCAACAACAACAAATATCCAAAGTGCTGCAAGTGAAAGTGTTTTAAAGATAAAAAGTTTTGATCGTGAATTCTCATTCAAAATCTGTCAGTTTTGTTGGAATGATGAGAGAAGAGAAATTCCAGCGTCAGATCATGTTGATTATTGCTCAGGTTGAAATTGAGATGACATTTTAAGAAAAATAGAATTTCCATACATTGACGACGACGTCGAATGTATCGATGCGATTTGGACGAATTCCGCCGACGAACAATGTGCGACCGTTGACATTCACAGCCAAATCATGAGGCTCACCAAATCGAAGACGAGAAACGAAAACAACGAGAACCCATGTGAATATTTTAACGACCCTAAACGCATTTTTAACGCGCTTGTGCTGCGTTCTAAACGTGTTAAGTGAAACGCGTCTGACTAGAGCTAAAATGAACATTCATCTAAAAAGAGTACGACTGAATGAGTCATTTAGTTTCTCAGTCAAACAGTTGCTCAAACACAAAAATACTTTGTCTAATCGCTGTATGACCTCATATCCCGCTCCCGTCAAAGAATATATGAACTTTGAATTGCAATAATCGAAACAAAACTGTTGATTCAGTTTCAAAAATTTGGTTCGTTTTCTGGCTCGAAACGACAATATCCAATGACTTACAAATGATCGTTACCACGCCCATCTGATGAAAGCGTTAAGTCGTATTTTACAGAACGGTCAAAACGACAGCTCGACACAAAGTCACTAGAGAAAATTAACGCATGGAGAACGACGCCGATCGTGCCAACAACAACTTTCGACCAAAGAGAATAGAGAGGCCAATTTTGAACATGAAAATCACCGCTATCATACAGAACGGAGAGGAGAAGAAGTGTCAACATGATCACAAGACACAAGAAACACAGAAAAGACCAAGGGGGGAGCCGTCTCCCGTGACTTCCGTAGTGATGGGATTCGGAAACCAGCTGGAGTCGGCGGGGGTTATCGGGAGTCACGGGAGTCGAAAGTCAGCTTTTTTCTCCTGGAAAAGACAATAATACGATTATTCTTTGCATTGAGTTACTTGAAGGACTCGGTACCTAATACCTTGATCAATCAATACAACAAACCAAAATAAATGTTCTTGGGCGATTCTTTGTGACATTCACCGACGAAATCCAATATTTTTCTGCTCAAACGAGCTTTACCACTCTTGTATGATTCAAAACCTTGTGATTGTAAGCAGCTAGTGTTTTTAATTGACCATCATCGATGGGGACTTTGGAACAAGGGCGAAACAGCGATTTTTGATTTTTTTGTAATCTAAAATCGCTGATTCCCCCTGTTTTGGAAAGATGTTCTTTTTGCCGACACGAGTAATAATTGTGAGAATTCCGGACAAAAGAAATCAGTCAGCAGAGAAATGTTTATTGTGTCGCATTTTGATCAAGGTTTCATTGCTGTTGACCAGCTCCGATCGGACGCCTCAACATGTCTCGATCATGTTGTGTGGCCTGATTTACAGTGGTTCTTCTACCTGTAATATCGGTCGTTATTGGCTCAATATGATTATTGTTATTTACACATCTGCAATTGCACCCAATGGTTCTTTCCATTCTATTCATCTTTTTTCAACTGTTCAAAAATAGATGTGCCAGCAAAGCACTCCGAAATATCATCATATCAACAAAACCGGTGCCACCCGAGCCGAGATCTCTCATTGTTTAAATAATCAGAAGGGATTCGATCGGTTGAGCCTTTCATTTCCTACTTAAAAGAAATGAGACATCGGATTGAGATAAATGGCAAGCCCAGTGAGAAGTTGAAACAAATGCTTTATTTGAAGATAGTCCGTTTGATAAATAAAAACAGAAAGTGTTAGTCGATAATATAATTGATCGGAGCACACTTTGTTTAGCTTCGGATGATTGAACAATACATGGTACTAGATAAAGAAAACACTTGTTTTTCAGTTTGCAACCGAATGGTAATGAAACTGCTTTAGACTTTGAATCGATATTGTTCTGAAATAAAAGAAGATTCAAATTAAAATAAGACATTTGGAATTTCACACCACCGCTCGTAATGCTAATGATTGGCTTGTAGGAATGATCAACTGCTTGACGGCGATTGAACAACGGCAATAATTGGATCAATATCAATTATTATCTATAATGTGAATATCGCAAAATCCTAGTCTCGTAGGTAGCGGAGAGAGTCAGCGAGCGAAAAGTAGAAACTGCAACTGAACTCTTTTGGCTTCAAAATAATTTTTAAAAACGCTAGTAAAGGAGTGTTTTCTTCCGAATTCAACTTACATGGTAGGAAGTTACTGTATGTGATTCTTCAGTGGTGACCCAGGTTTCATGATCAAATTTTGTCGTTGTATATGTTTCTGTTTTTACATCCGTACGCCAATGACAGGCTGGTGATCTTGTTGAATATGTCTGAGATTCTTGGTTTACTGCAGCTTGTAATCTAATTTCGTGTTCTCTGTCTCCTGGACGTGTTAAACAAAACATACAAACTCCACAAGCAAGGAAACTTATTCCAAATCCAACAGGTATTCCAATATAAACTTCTATCACACGAACCTTTCTGGAACACAGGACCCAGAATGTAATTGCAAGGGATAGTAATATAATAAACAATACAATTGAACAACGCGTCGACCATGATGGCCGACTACGATAACTTCGATTTATATTCATTATAGATTGATAGAATTCACTCGGAGCAATAATGCCTTTTAATTTAGTCGGAAATGTGGGATTAAATCCTTGATGACAACAACCATCTGTATGAAAACACGAATGAGACATACGGAGAAGCTGATATACACAATAACGGATGGCCTCGAAGGAATGGCGGTCTCATCTCAGTATTTAGTTAATATCTCAGCGAATTTCAATTCTGTAAAGTTTCCAAAAGATCTGCCATGCAACTCTCTGCAAAACGGCTTGTTCAAAGCCAACATGAAAATTCTTTAAAGTTTTGAAAAGGAAAATTCCTGCCCCATTAATCTACCTTGACAATTCAAAGTTTTGATATTGTCTGTTTAGTCACATGAATTGACACGTTTTTGGCACTTCCTAGTTTTTCAAAACTCATTCCTAATAGCACAACTTATGGCGTTTTATCGAACTATGGACTAGAAAATGTGTCAATGCATAAAACAAAGTAATGTAAAAACTCCGGTATCTTGTAGAAATTTAAAGAATTATCAAAGCCTGCGTGTTGGATAAGCCGTTTCGTAAAGACTTGCATGAGACATCTTTTGGAGAACAGTTCAAGTCTAGAGAATTGAAATTGGTTGAGATATAAATAAAATGCTCAGATCATTATTCTTTACGGGCCATCCGTTCCAAAAACAACAGTGTATATTTCAAGAATCACTCACAGCAACCCGCTTGAATGTCAATAGTTTTTGGGCGGTTCGTGTAGCTATTGTTGTTGCCATTGTTCTCAGCGACAGGTGTGATCTTCATTGTCCCTAAACTAATCGGAAAATGGAAATAAAATAAGACGAATAAGCAGCTTCGTAAAAAAAGCTTTTCGCGAAAAGAAAAACTAAAAACTCGTGTGTGGTGTTGTTAATAGTAGACAGATTTTCAAGTTTAGCCTGTCATTGTTCTCTACAGTGCGTAGCGCAATATCCACTCGACAGAAGCTGTTCTAAAAGATGTATTACACGTTCAGAAATCAAGACATCTCGCAAACACCTAAATGATGAGGAGCACCTCCCTTTCAAATAAAATATTTCTTTATCTTCCTGGAAGAAAAAAATTTTTATTGTGCTCGTTGCTTATATAGCGAAAAAGTTTCTTTTGTACACTCCTTCAACAGGATCAAAAGGGAGACTAAAGGTTGACTGAAATAGTTTCTACTTTTCAAACTATTTCACTTGCCTGATTGAAGTTCGTTTCAATTGACTCACAAAATCAACAAAAGAACTGCGGAAGAGAAACAAAGTCTTTTGCATCACCTTTTTTTCTCCTTCTTATGGGAACTGTATGCACCGTTTGTTGTGTTCTGATGGTCATGAATTGATTTCGAACTATAAACAAATCACGGCAAAAACATTTCTTTTTCTTTTCTTCACTTATTCAAATCATCTACTGTCCATTTTCGCACCTACCAGAGTTCTGTGGGACGTAGAACTCAAGGGAATAAATGGCAAACGAAATGAAAACTCGATTAGTTTCGAAAAAGCAGCATACTTTTCAGACACTGAACGGGTTTCTTCATTTGCCAAAACGCATTTTCCGAAACAGCGTTCAATTCTCTACAAATACATATCAGTTTTAAATTCTTAATAACTTATTTTGCACCCTTAATAACGATCGGTGTTTTAAATTTTTTCTCACTCAAACACAGTTCTAAAATTTTTTTTTCTTATGATTTTTCAAGTTCAGGCTTTGCTCTTTCCAAGGAAAACAATCTAACTCTCTTGAACATCTGAAAAATTCAGAAATAATGCTCGACATTTTTCGAATTACTATTCGGCGCTACATAAAAAGTACACCCACGATTTTTCAAGTTTAAGAACGCTCAAGAACTGGAATTTTTTATAAAACATATTCGTGCCCGGCACTCTGCGAGGGTACATTTTGAAAAGAAAAATTTCCAAAACTCTCCTCTCCTAATACTGATTTTGGAATTAAATTTTAAACTTTTAAAATTTAAGTTCTTTTAAAATTCGGCCATCTTAGTACAGATTAGCTATAAAATTTTCGAACAAAAACCATCAGAAAGTGCGCAAAATATTCAACAAATCAAGCAAAAGTAATGGGCTGGCCAATTATTCAGAAAATGGAAGAATTCCTTCCATTTTCTGAATAATGGGCCACCCCATTATTTTTGCTTGATGCTAGGGATAATGAGTTGGCCCATTATTTTTGGATATATATATAGCGACACTGCGCGTTTGAATTCATTCATTTTAAAAAGTTTTGACGTCGTCTGTTTATTGTGGTACAGTTGTTTCTCATAGTTATTTGTTTATTGAATATTTTGCGATTAACTTTATTTGGAAATCAATTTCAAACGATTAACGATTATCATCGAAATTACAAAAAGGTATTTATAAGCTAAGAAAATTTCTATTTGCCCACCTTGAACAGAGTCTCCAATTGTTTTCTGTTACTGTGTTCAGAAATAGCGTTGAATTTAGCCAGATTTCTCCGTAATCTGACATCGGACTGTGCTTATACCTTTGTCGGTATACAACTATCCCTATACCATCGTGTGTAAGCTAGTAATTTACAAGCACTAAAACTCGATAATCGCTACTCAGGACAAGCAATCCTCTGATGGGATTCCGATCTGGGTATCGTCGAAATGGGATAAAATCCGACAGGATGAGGTTGAACGTTTTGCGGATCCGAGAATCAGAAGTTGCTCGCAAGCGAGCATATTTGGGAGTTCTACTTCTAAAAGTATCAGCGCTTTTTGCACATCTAACTGAGCTTTTTAGCTCAATAAGTTTGACTTGACTGGACTTGTGTATTTAAATATATTTATGACGTAATATAACCGTATCTTCAAACTGCACAGCTTTTTTTTCGATTAGTGAAGAACGAATTATATTAGGTCCTAAATATATTTCCACGCAAAGCTTCTTCCTCTCTAATTTATTGAAAAATCAACTCTTGCTTTTTCCATTCATTTCTCTCAATTAACAATGATGCATCTAACATTTGTTTTGTCACCATCTGCTCATCTAACATTTGTTTTCGTATTACTCAGTCAAGGATACATAAGTAGAGATTATAGAAGAAAAACCATGCTTACATTGTTTTTCTGTCTGGAGCAGTATAACACAAAAAGAAGATTTGTCAGGTTGTACTTTTATTTTATCACTAAAAATACTGTGCAAGAATTCAATGAATGAGTATTACTTCAAATAATTCTCACACTAGTTAAAGTACGCGTGAATATTCCAGTTTTTAGACAATATTAAACGTGTTTGACTGCAATGTCTATTGAAAATGCAGAGGCCATTAAAAGATTTTGCATAAGTTTGTTGTTTTAGTGAATAAGCTCATATGATTAAGAAGACTCATTTCGAAGTCGTTTCTGCGTGAGATGGTTTGTAAGACTCTTTATTTTAAACCGTGTCGTTATTATTGCATGTATAGCGTTTGAACTTCTTTCAAGTGGTACTAACAAAGTGAAATCCCATCTCCAATATTATTTTAGTTTGACCAGTACAGATTAGAAAAAATGCGAGGGCGGGGTGCTTTTTATCATGGTTTCTAAGTATTTCTATGATGCACTGTCAGAAAAGTAAAGTGACTGAATGGCTGAATAAGAAGGTTCAAATGACTGATTCAGTCGTTTTAGCAAAGATTTTTGTGGATGAAACGACTGACAACCCGATCTCATAGCCCGAACGGGATATATATCCCATTCAGGATATAAAAATATATTCTGATCAGAATATCGCTCGTGAGACCGAACTGACTAACTCAATCGCATTAGGGAAAATACGGTATATGTACCATGGATGAACTTAAACATTTCCAAGGAGCATAAGACAGCGCTTTAACCCAGAGCTTATATTAGTTCTGTGGTTTTCTTTACAAAAAAATTGCATTTCATTAACTGCCAAAGTAAAAAATGATGGTTTACAGTGCAGTTTAGAACGATGCTTTCATCTTGCGTCAATTAACTATTACAACAAAGCTAAGAGGACTGTTACAACAACGGTGTGTTAGAACTAGTCTGCTTGTAGTTGAAAAAGCCTTCTAAGTTTAAGCGGAAGGGCGGCGTTTGGACAGACGCGCCGCAAAATACTTTTTATAGCCGTTAAATGAAGATAGTCACACTCAACTGCGCATAAACAAAGATGAAGTCGGCTGTCTTTTTTTCTCCTTGTCAGAAAGATAGACTGCTCGGTTTAATTGAGCGTCAGTGCAGCTATGCAGGTACATATGAACAAAGCCACATTTTCACTGAGATATTTGCTGCAAAGCAAGTTTCTCTGAGTAACATTTTTTAAGTCAAAAATCACATTTAAGTTTTTTTATAAAAGTAGCTCGAGATCAGATTGGGTGACCGATAAAGAAGGTCTAACGCGAATTCTTCATGGTCATTCCCCCTCAATGAATTTTCTCGACAAAATGACGGAATGACCAACCATAACCTATTATATATATACGTTTCCCTTTTCTGCTCTTTACCTTTTCTGGGATAAGATTGAGATCATTCTTATACAATATTCTAGCGTAGAGTTTAAGAATTCAAGAATGTCTTTTTCGTGCAAAACGGATCTTCATGTGAAATATGGCATAATGACCATTAGATGAAAAGATGAGAAGATGTACAGATCTATCTCAAAGACCTTTCTTGATTACACAATTTTTGGCTAACTTGTGGAGCTGACAGTGATTTAGCTGACCCTGAGATCACTGAAAATTTGCACATGTACTTAATTAATTAAACAAAGCAGAATCATGCAGCGAAGCCCGTGATCCCTATAAACCAATTAGTAAGAGTTTACGTCAACAATTGATAAACCTTAATGTGTTCCAGGATGAAAAGTTTATGATTCTATTCTGCTTGGTCCGCGATCTTCTCTTATTGGTTTCAAATAATCAAAGACAAGGTGGCTTTTTACTATAATTTCAAAATGAAAAGTACGCTATTGTTTTGTATACGTAGGTTATCATTTTGTAACAACAAGAGCAATCAAAGTTTTGTTGATTCTGTAAAAGGAAACTGTAGTTTACTAATTCAAAGACAAAAAGCCCGATATCTATCCTTATTGAACAGTATAATCACATGCGTAAATAATCGTAAAAATGAGAATACTTCTAAAATATGACCGCCTCAAAATCCAAACACTCCAATTTGCACCTCACACGATGATGAGAATATAAATATTCTCCTACTGAAGATAAGAACGAAAATTTGTATTTTTTGTATCGTCATAATAACATCATGAACTTGTCAATAAAAAAAAAACAGTTCTGAATTAAATTTTAGAATAGTATCTGTAGCGCAAAGTTATCCTTAACAACATAAAGTTATCAACTAAATATAAAAACAATGGCCATCATTCTTAGATAAATATCTTTTTCTAAATCTTTCGTAATGAAATGCATAAAAAGCTAAAGAATTATAGTTATCATAACCACAAATTGATACATCTCCACCTAAATATGAAGACGTTTAAACATTTTGAAGGAGGACTATATTATGTACATAAGCAGTTTTAAAATAAAATAATTTATTCTCTTAGAGCGTTAGATGGTAGGATACAGGAATAGACTGTAAGGATTTTCGTTTGAAATTCTCACTGTTTACGATTTTCATTCTCAAAACACAATGTATACGCATAATCCGAAACTGGAAAATATTATAATTTATATATTTTTGAACAAAGTCATTTTTGAATGGAGATTGTTCGTGACAGTCTGTATCAGAGGTGGGAACCGAAAAACTTTTAAAAGCGAGTGAAGTGGAAAAAAGTTAAGTGAAGGCAATATTTATGAGTTTTGGGGGTATTTTTATTTTTGTTTAACTAGTTTAACAGTACGAGTTTTTCTTTCGTTTTTTCAGTCGACATCTTATATTCTGACATATTTTTTACAAAATCTCTTAGTTCCCTACTTTCTCTAAGATAGGAAAGCAGTAAAAACTATAAGATTAGGTAGACAAATGTTGAAAACAAAATGTCGACAAGTAAAAACGTCGACAAAAAATTGTCGATAGATAAAATGTCGACTGGTAAATTGTCGACAGTAGATAATTGTTGTACAGTAGTAAATTGTTACCTGTAGAAAGCAATTCCCGTGAATCACTTTCTCTCAGAATGACGTGAAACTACTTTTTGAACTCACAATGCCCTCCCCATCTCCCGCGACATGATATATAAAATACAAAACCAGGCTCATTTATTCTTCTTTTCTAATAAACAAGTCTTCGCGGTAATGTCGTTCGCGATATTGTCGGCACAAAATGAAAATTATACGAATGTGTTGGTACATGTATGACTCTAGCTCTTCGTTCTCACTCATATGCATTTTTATTTTATTTTTCATTGACATGTGTTCAAATTTTACCTAGTAAACCATAAATTTAATTTATTCATGCTCCAATTTTATTTTTTCATCATCAGCTTCTTTTCTTTGTATTTCATGATGTCGACCTTTTACATTGTCGACATTTGATTTTCTACATTTTTTTGTCGACATTTTACCGTCGACGTTTGACTACTTTCCCAACTATAAAAGTTCTTTTGCTTTTTTTAAGGTGATCTATAATGATACAGGGATGTACCAGCTTCTGGGAAAACTTTATCAGACAAAGAGCGTCTGATTTATGCGATATATTTTGTTCAATGCATTCGAAAAATAAAAGTTATCACCAAAGCAGCATACTGTGAATTACTCTCTACATCTAAGCGAATATTTGTCTCAAATTTCAAAAGTATAAAATTAAATAGTTATAATATTACCGGAGAGGACAAACCGAGCAATACTCAACAAAATAGCAAGTTTTGTCAAAAAATCAATTACATCTTCACTAACGTGTGTATCAACGAAAACAAACAAAACCGATCGTTTGAACTTGGCAACAGAATTACATTTTTCATCATTCTCGAAAATAACACCTTAAAAAACGTCTCGTTCAGGTCACATGTCTAACTACTATGTCTGTTTTTCTTACTCCCGTCTTATCCTAAGGAAAAACGAGTGCATTTTCATTCAGAGAACAGTAAGAGATGTCATTTATCTCTTTTGCGTTACAGTTACGTAAAGACTTTCAATCGTATGGAACAAATGAAACGTTTAAATAAAGCGTTTCTTTATTAAAGCGATAATATCTATTTAAATTGAAGTTAAAAGTCGAATAGCATGACTTGTGCCCTCAATATAGTAATAATTTTCATGATTATGTTCAGTAATTGTTGACTGTGAACACATTTTCTTATATTTTAGGTGAATTTAAGTCAAATCAGTTATTCTTTTATATTTGTATTAGTTCATTTGAAACGGATCATCAAATTTTTTTATTTATATTATACAAGGGGAGAGAAAGATATGTTGATAGTTTCATTTTTTATATAATCCATATGTTAATGAGCTCGTATTTTCAGACTCTACATATATATATATTCATTGCTCAATTGTTATCGAATGCATACGCCAACTTTTGTTCTTTATTATAGCTTCTATAATCATTCTTTTCATGATTATTAGAAATAACTATTTATCGCTACCAATATTTGTTAAATGATCATTTGTTTGGATCTTGTCAGCATAGTTTCAACGTCCATTAGCTAAAATTTCTTTCATTCTTTTTTTGACAATCATACCTAAGTCCTTTTAGACTATTTAATTCACTTCTCTCACTTTAGATATAACCCTCAAGTCACAATTGAACGGTGACATGTCATAATCTATAATTGTCAACTTAATAGTTAAAGATTCGAAATAAAAATATCTTTCTATAGGAATATTTTTTAAATAACCAATAATTGTATTAAAATATTTTTATCATCCATTTTTATCGTGATCATGACCTTGAAATTCAAAGGAAAAATAAAAAAAGGAATGAAATCCGCAAATATCCACATCTATTGTTCATATTATACTCGTGTGGGGTATTCAGATATTACTAACAAGTGAGTGTTTATGTTGTTTAATCTAAAGTGGTATTGGACAAGAGAAAATCAGAACACAAAAGAGAAAGAAGAAAAAGAAAAAAGAAAGCGAAAAACTAAAATGTATTTATTGCTTCAGTTCAAAAAAAGAAAAGAAACATTCATGATTCTACTAGGCCTGAGATATTTCTAAAATGTACACAAACGATGTATAAACCTAAAAAATATACATTTTTATTCGTCAAGAACTTAAAATCAATGTATGTATGAAATTAATTTTTTGTCAGTGTGAATTCCTTTTCTTTTAAAATAAAAATTTTACTAAGTGGTAAAATGAAAAGAATAGTTCAATTTTTCAAAATTGTCTTTGCATCTATATAATTGAGAAACTGAAAATATTCACTTTTCTAATTCTGCTTTGTTCAACATATATCTCATCGATAAACTTTCAATTGCAATATATATCGTCAGCTGTTAGTTACCTAATAATAGTTCTCATTGAAACAATAAGTTTATAATATAGATAGAACAGAAAACTATCATAGTTACGGTTAAATCTTGTTGAATGATAAATGACATATAATGGTAAAATAAATTTCTATTAGAATACAATCAGTTTAAAGAAAAGATATAAAACGTATGATATGTAATCATCTTATTTTTTTGTCCATTATTTGTTTGTCTATACATCTATCTAATTAAAATAATTATCTTTATTTAGGATTATTATCCAAATAGTTGTTGCTATTATGTTTAATTTTTCAATATTTTTTAAAAAAATGTAAAATAAAATAAAAAATGTTGATAATATTCATCGTATTTATATTTTTATTTCAACAAATATTTTGTTTAACATATGAATCTTGTTGTTCATCTGATGATATTTATTCAAGAAATACAACAATAACTACAACATTATCATGTTTAAAAAATGATGTATTAAAACTACATTCGGTGAATCATTATTATGGAAATGGTTGTTCTCGAAGTAATTGTAAACGTCGTTCAATAAAATATTATTTAATGTGTAATAATTTAAAAATGTGTAAAATATCGATTAAATGTGTCTATATGGATGATCAATTTTGTCCCGGATTAAAACTAAAACCAAATACACTTGCCGAACATATTAGTATTGATTATGATTGTATTTCAACTGAAATTGAACCGCCATTAATTGCTCTCAATCGTCATATGACAGAAAACAGTATTGCACTAAATTATTATAAACCTGTACGTTCTTCATCCATAGACGAATTAGTGAATAATACTACAACAATTCCTATAACAACAATTAACACTGAAGAATTTAATCATTATAATGAAAAAGTTTGGAATGAGTATATAATTAAAAATTATTTAACAAAACAGCGTTCAGTGATGTTAAATGGTGAACAGCAACAACAACAACAACGATCTCTCGTAACTGATGTATTATGGATTGTCATTATTCTAATTATATTCGCATTTGTTCTAATCATCTGTATGCTTATCGGACTTTTAGTTTATAAAAGAATTTTATTATTAAATAACAAAAAGAAATGTTTATTACTCAATCATCAATATCATTCATTTTCACCAGGTGACAATATGTATGACAATTTAAACGGGACAATGAAAGTGAACGTCAATGGAACGACGACTGATGTGTGAAATTCAATTATGTTACAAAGTATAGATCAGATAGACGTAACAATAGACATGTTGTTTTAAAAAGTTATACATGTTCATTCTAAGGCTTTGTAAAGAGTAATAGTTCAAAAAAACTCTGCGTGTAAGTTAGACAGCGAATGTATTTTGTGTTTGTAATTTTAATTTAAATTTTCACATTAACTAATTAATTATTATTACTAATCTATTGAATTAACATATTAATTTCTTGATTTGTTAACCATACAACATTATTATATATGATAAAGTTCTATCTGATGATGGTTTTTTTTTTCTTTATCAAACATTATTGTTTTACCTATTTTGTTTGATTACTAATTTTCAATCTATTCAATCAAATAATGTGTTTCATATATCAGGCATACTAAAAACTTATTCGGAGACGATCTGATTAGTATAGATGCGTTGGAAGAGAGAGAATCTTATTAAATAGCACTATTTTCATTAACTTTTACATAAATTCATTTATTTTAATTTAAATTGGAACAAAAACAAGGATATTTCTACTAGTTGACAGTTTCGTGATAATGTGCTGTATAATGCTGTAAACAGGTTCGTGGAGTATGACTGAGCTGTTGAACTATCGGGAAATGATGTGGTTAACAGCTGAGCTTGAAGTTGTGTTTCTATAGTTTCTCTATTCAAGAGGATCAATAATAAACTTCAAAACTCACAATATATTATCTATTAAATCAGTTTTAACTCTTCTTCACTGGATTTATTCAATCTGATACTCGTCTACTAATTTCAAAAGTAAAAAAATCTTTAATCCTCCACTATGGTAGATTAATTTCGTGCTGCATGACGATTTATGTCATTATTATTCTGGGAGTTATCAACTGTCTGTAGGCGAAGGGTCTTTTTTTTTGTTTGTGCTTGAGCAGATAAAGACAAGACTTTTAAGTAAAGTTCGTGTCACGCAACACAAATCTCTACTAACAACAGGAATCTGGAATCAATTAAAGCAGTCTTTGAGTTAACTCCTCTAACAGAATGGAGGGTGTAAAAATTCAACACTTTAGACTGCACCATTACTAAAGTAAATCTCCACTTGGTTCTCAAGTATCAGGATCAATTACAAAATAAAAATATTTTTAGATTCCAGGGCTTCGGACTCCTTTCCACTTGTGTCTGCGGTGACAAAGTGTCAGACTCATTTCATCGATCACGATGCGACAAAACAACTAATCGATAGTAGTTTAGCATGTATAATATAAACTATCATTCTTCTACTTTTAATATTTGATTGGAGTTAAGATGAGAACGTAAACTTTATCAAAGTCGCTGAAGATCGTGAATTTCTGTAAAAAAATTGTTTCTTTACAGCTTTTATTTTATACGACTCCACTAACAGACAATTTAGATCAAAACGATTAGAATAAGCATAATATCGTATTCATATTCTGTTAAAATATGTGTATATTTGTGAGAGCTGCTCACATATGTGAAACTGTGATGGATTATGTTCTTCTCTAAAGATAGTGATGATGATATCTATTTTCTCACATGTATATGATGAACTCATAGTCGATAGATCATTGCGAGAACGTGTTTAGTTGAAATGTCAAGGATTGAACATATTTAACGCACGTACAAAGGAGCAATGATTAGTTTCTTCTTTTTTTTTTTTTTTGTTTTCAACTACAGCTGTGTGTAGAATTCTCTTTCAGAATAAATAATTGTTGTCAAATCAAGAATTAGATAATGAACCAACGAAAGATGATGTAAAAATTGCGATGTCATGACATTCACTGAGAAAGAACAATTATGCAAACAAAATGAATCTCATTCAAGATAATCTAAATAAATCGTTTACATTCATAAACAGTTATTATGTGCTAATCTCTCGTTAATGTAACAAAAGCTACTCAAAGTCACACAAATGTTTAGTATTTGTTGTTGCGTTTATTCAACAGGAAAAACAAGTCACTCTACTATGTCAATTATGTAATAAGTACATTCCTCTACTTCTAAATTTTACACTGTCACAATGCATTGAGTGGAAAAGTGATAATTGTATAAAGGTTATATTAATTTATTACATCTCTTATTAAATATGCATTGATGAATCTTTAACACTAAAATCTATTAAAAATTCTAATCGATCTCTTAAGTTTCTAAAGATCATTATAACTTCGAAACAAATTCTTACTCAAGCATTTTATATTTATAGTCGATTGAAAATACGAAATAGAGATATGATTTATATAGAAAATCTACAAAAAAATTATATACGATAGAAACTTTAAATGTACACTGTGTCTAATTTAATAAGACAATATAAGATATTCACAAGAATTTAATAAAATTTGATAAAACTTAATCGTATGAAAAAAGTTCAAAATCTATCTTAATTTTCGAAATGGAAAGCGTTTGTTTTTTTGTTTGCTTATATTCTTATTTTTTATAATTTTCTGTTATAGAAAGTCTTGAGGGATACGTTTCAGCTCCATATACGTGATATCCTTACCTTGAGTGCTCCAGTCTCTTGATCCAAATGTATATTCACATTCTTTTCTTTTCTTTCCTATCTGCTTTATTTTATTTAAACAATAGACGGTGTGCTAGAAGCAATAATATTCACGAATATAAATTCTATGAAAGTTCAAGCGTAAATGTTTTCTTCATATACGACAAATGTTACCTTATTGACAGCACTTAAAAGCCTAGCGTATGGCATCATCTTAACTCACTTCTATTTAGGATCAAAATCTCGTCACATGCTACACAAAATATTGCGAGATACAGCGTGATAAACACCATACCATAATTATAACTTCCATCTTTTTTTCATTCAATTCACTATGTTGAACTTCATTATATCATGTCCTCTAAGAAAAGTCCTTATATAATATGATGTAATCGAATATAAAAAGGAATGCAAGAGCGTTACAACACAAGAATAGAATCATACATGATTTTCTTATAACAGGAGCTTAAGGTTCTTGAAATATGTACAGATAGTCTAGAATAAGCACATGCCTCAATAATCCTCAAGCCGTTTCATAAGCAAGAATCTCTCTTGTGCTTGGAGAGCAAATGTTAAGAGACAATTTGTAAGCGCGTCGAGAAAATCGATAAAACTTTCAAAAAATAAATTTGTTTTTTAAAATGATTTTCGGATTCTCCTTCCAAAGTTACCTATATATTCAAGTTTTTAGTCGTTGAAAACTTTTCATCGTTGAGAAATATATTTTTTAAAAAAAGTACCAACAAGTTTTCTTCAAAAACTGAAGAGATCTGTATTTCTTGTTCGTTTAATTGTAGCGACATTATCATACATTTGATTTTCTTAAATTACACATTATTCGAACGAACACAAAAAATAACTCAACAAAATCTGATATTGTTCAGGTCTTTCGAAAGAGGAGACTTGAAGGCATGATTCTATAAGCAAACATTTAGAAGAAGATTTAAAAAACTAGTGAAAACCAGGTTTTACGAAAATTAGGATTTCCAGGCTTTTTTCCAATAATAATAAAAAATTCATTAGTCTTCAGAAACTTCAGGACAACTTGGAAACATCAGGATGTAGTAGACTATTTTATATTTTAGTTATAAGAAATCTACAAAAAAGGATTCACAAGATCCTATAGTTTTCCGCAAAAGTTTCTAGAAAACCCTTAAAGCAAAACATGGTTTCACGATTTTTTCGATGATATAATCACGTTTAGTGGACAAAACTAAGCATGTCCTGATCTTTTTCCAGCTCGTTCTGAAGTTTTCTGGGTGAATGGTAAAATTTTTTAATATTGTGTGAAAAGAGCCTGGAAATCCTAATTTTCGTAAAACTGGATTTTCACTAGTTTTTAAATCTTTTTCTAAAAACAAAAAACATGCTGGCTTATGGAATCATGCCTCCAAGTCTCCTCTTTCGAATACCGAAGATCCGAGCTCTCCAGCTGCTTTCTATCAAAAGTTATTGAAAAAATAACAGAGTCATATCTTTTTTTGGACAGACCGTAATACAATTATTTTGTTGTAGGACAATGGAAGTTTATGACATAATAATTGTTTTGCTGGACAAATTAGCTCCTTTTTTTTTGTTCTAATGGTACTTTATTTAATTTTTTTCAGCAACGAAAAATTTATTTAAGACCTGAACAATATCAGGTTTTGTTGAGTTTTTTTGTGTTCGTTCGAATGATGTGTAATTTAAGAAAATCAAATGTATGATAATGTCACTACAATTAAAAGAACAAGAAATACAGAGTTCTTCAGTTTTTGAAGAAAACTTGTTAGTATTTTTTTTAAAAATATATTTCTCAACGATGAAAAGTTTTCAACGACTAAAAACTTGAATATATAGGTAACTTTGGAAGGAGAATCCGAAAATCATTTTAAAAAACAAACTTATTTTTCGAAGGTTTTACATTTTTTTTACAGCATTCTCGATTTTCTCACGGAGTCTCTCTTAATATGTGTATCTGTATTATGTACTTTAGAAAAAAGTTCACTAGGGGATCTTTAGCGTTAAATTCCAAACAATCGATATTATAATAGTTTGTCATAAACTAATTGAAATAAAAACCATAAAACATCTTGATGACCTATATTTATTCCGAGAGAAATCTCGGAGCGTTATATCAACGATAGTAATAACGATTTCGTCTAAATGTTTTGTATTTAATTTTCTTCATGAAGTTGGTTATCGTCCACAGTGAGTAAGTTTATTCAAATTTCAATTCTAATCCTTCTGTTCCATATTTGTCTTTATTTTGATCAAATAACGCTTGCA